GGACTCAGCGTGAACAACAGGCTGATAAGTGACGTATGTATGGAGTATAAGTGCGGCACGTCCACGGGCACGTGCGAAACGGAGACTAAACTACTCTATTGAACTGAAAACCCACCCCCAGAACTTTTTTTTGAAAAAGTACATAAAAATATTGAGATCAAGGCACAGCTTTTGGTTTTCCATGCTGAATGGTTCAATTACATCCAAAATCAATGACTTCACTGGATAAATATCGTTTCACTAGCCTTTAGCTATCCGCTACGAGGACGGCGAATCGCTATAAAAGGGATGGGCGGCGGCAAGAATCCGTCAGACACAGAATGTTGCTAGCTCTCGTAGTCTTGTTCTCCGTTCCTCTAGTGCACACCAAAGACTCAGGTGAGTGCAGCACTGTAATTATACTCCACATCATATATGCATGTATCCCTTCAGCCTCAGATTATTCACGCTGATTCTGACGGTATGAAGGTGCGGGTGTTGCACGATGGAAAACTCATAGCCTCTATCTCCCTCTTTCCTGTCTACTAAAAACTGTCTACTAAAAACTGAAGAGGAGACCTACTTTTACAGGCGAAGAATGTATGCCCGCCGATGATCTGCGAGACGTGATTGTTACCTTTGTAAGTAACCCTAACATGGTGAGTCTCTTTTCTATAATTGAAAGCGAGGATGGAGTAGCAGTATATGACGCCTTTGTCTAGTGCATAGAGACTCTATAGACCTGGTTCCACTCTCGGTGCGGCTCACCAATAACCCTTCATGTTAAACACTGGTACCTGACACCGTCGTGAGGAGAAGTTCAGCCTAGCATTCGTGGTTGAATGCGGCTAGGATTATTTGCTTCTGAGCATTTTGATGGGTTAAATTTTGAGAATATCGAACCCACGTAGAAGTCCTTAACTCTTATCTTCTCATGAAAGCATCGCTTATTATTGATATCACATAGATTATTTGTTTTGCTTTCAGCAATGGAGCACTTGGATGGCGAACGACGCTCAGGCGATGATGGCCAAATGGCCATATCATGCGGTGTTTTGTACAAGGCCGTTTGAAACTGATCATCCGGATATACGAGATGAAGTAGTGAAGACGCTGACAAAGTGTGGACCGCTTCTTGCAGAAAAAGTGAGTTGCTGACGCAATCAGTTCCCCCTGTTCTACTCTGTCTCATCGAGGGAACGACAGGATAATGGACTTCGGAGGCACAACAAGGGTGAGCCGTCCGTTAGACACAGTCCAAGGAGGGGGTCGTATTAGCCGACGAAAAGGGGGGGGGTCGTATTCGCAAGGTCGGAGGCAGCGTCAATAAGGCTGGTAAGGGTGGTTGTCGTTATTGATAGACCTCCTGAGTCTCATGGTGGTGGAGGGGAGTCGTGAAAAATTTCCAAAAAGTACCAACGGTAGGGTTGACCCTGGGGGGGGGGGTCGTATCGAGGCCCTCCAGAAGAGGGGGGGTCGTAAAATTTTTGAAATTTGTCCAACGTGACGGTTGACCCTGGGCATGCCTAATTGCCAATGGTAACGAGCACTATAAGAGGCAGTGAATGTTGAAAGTTACCTAGGGGTTCGTACAAGTTTTTGCCACGAGAGGATGCCCCAGACAGCAAATTTGTGGGATAAATATGATAAATTACATACGTGCCTCAAGTTGGCTGCTTTTATGAAAAGTACCTCGTTCTTGGATACGTTTTGTATTATTACTCTCATTTAGCCTCACACAACTACGAAATTCGGATGCGGCTGTAAGCACAGGCCTGGAAACAGAAAGGACCTCGTGCAGATACTGTGTCTGTTTCCGTCTGGCTCGAACAATTGAGCCCATTTTTCGTACGTAACACCTTATGGCAATTTTTCTGCTAGATCTAGTCCTATAGAAAGCAATTTTGAGTAAAAATTTCGCCAAACCAGATTTTGTGTAGTGAAAGAAACTTCAATCACACATTCCTGTATCTCAACCAAACAGCGACAACAGCAAAAGTTGATCGCGTACCAGAACACTGAAAGTCAGAATTTGATAACTTCTCTCCATGAATCTTTGAGTGAATCACAACAAGAGCTTGATTCCGTTGAATTCACGACCCGGGACCTTTCATGGAAATATAAAGCTTGGCCCTACAAGTATTCCGACGCGTAAAGGCAAGAACTCTCGAGTGTGCTGGGTGATGGGCAGAAGCACTTATCCCAAGTTCAAGCGACGATTAGGGTTGTATTATTTTACCGCTGTGGAACTCGTCGCGTACACTAACGCCCCTTTGTATTTTTTTTCAGATTTTTTTTGTCCAACACGCAGGATTCGCATATATTCGTTTTCAACCCATTATTTTGTAACTCCATTTCAATATATAACCCATACATACATACATACATACACATGCATATATACCTACATGCTCCGCCCATTTATAAGCCCCGCCCACTTTTATTGTTTCCACTTCCAACACAGAGTTTTGTGGCAAAATTCATACATACATACATACATACATACATTCTTGCAAGCTCCGCCCACTCGCCTACGCATTCCGACATTATCATTTGGTAGAGTTTGAAAAGGGCTATCAAATAGAATCAAGAAAATCAGGGAAACAATCAGGGGAAGGGGAACACTTTGTGTTGTTTTTAAAAGCTTTTTGTGTTTACATCACATACACATCGCGGTCTAATGCCAGAGGCGAAAAATACTGGATAGGGTATGCCCCATGCATCGCTTTTATAACTGATGTGCACAGGATCATTGTACTATATTTCGCTAAAACAGCCATGTTGTTCTCTCCTCAAATCGGGCAGAACTCGATGGTGGCCACTGACTCATCAATCTACCCTATGCTCCAAAAAACCAGACGCTGAATGAATGCAGACTACACGTGTCGCTGCAGCTCTGTGTTGTGCGCGTAACAGCGCGCTATGCCAAGTGATATGTATAAATTCGCTAAGTATGTCTGTGCGTGTGCGCGCTTAGGAGTGGATGTCACGAAATTCATAGTGCGCGGACCATCGGTCGTCATGAGTTGATGCTGAGCTATGTATAGGGGTCAGGGCGGGAACATATGTAACGGAGCCAGAAAGTGATAAGGCCGATGTCAGACTTTGCGAATCGCGCGATTCGCTAGCGTCTGCGGTCGCGTCGCGGCCAGTGAATCACTCAATTGGCTGGTACCGCAACGCGACCGCGGACGCTAGCGAATCGCGCGAATCGCTAGTAGCGAATCGCGCGATTCGCAAAGTCTGACATCGGCCTAACAGCTGACAAGACCCGACATGAGGCGCTGGAACAGCAGCATCGAGGCGTTGTCTCTTAGGATGTAGAGGTTTGGACGGAAGCATGTATTTTCGGGGCCAGACAGGGATCACAGCTACTAAGATCTGATAAGGGGATTTATAGAACAAGTATCACGAAATCCATGGCCGCAGCACAGTAGCTTTGAGGAGCTGACTCTTACCATTAAACACGATGTGAAGGGAGGACGGAAACATTTACGATGAGGGCTAGAAAGTGTTAAAGACTGATAAGGGGTGATAAGAACGCTTAGCTTGGACGGAGGAGTCAATGAAATTGTTATCTGGATGCGTGGCAAGGAAGCATTCCATTAATTCGCGATGTCATCGTCGTGTTATTGCCATCATCGTAGAAATTCGACCGCCAACGTTCCCAAGCTTTCTAACAAGGGAAGGATACCAGGTCGAAGTGGCCATTTGTAACGAGACATACACCACTAGATGTGTTTTTGGACGCTGATCTCGAATCTGCTCTCCAAATCTGCGGAACGATTCTCTGAACGTAGTTATGAAGCGAGATAGTGCAGTGGCAGCGGCCCGGGCCGACGGGAAAGAGGTCGTGAGGATCGAATTTTCGACTTTTGCGCGGGTTTTGACTTTTGCTTTTCCTGAGGACATTGTTAAGGAGACCCTCATCTATGCTAAGTCATCAGCACTCGCCTACATTACAAGTGTGAGGAGCTAGCGAGGAGCTTCGATCAAGTGTGCGCGCCATTTGCAAATGGTCACCCCTTGTACTCATAGCGCACCCTACAGGCACTTTCGTGCGAAGCAGAAGTGTTTTGATCTGAATCTAAAATTTTGACCTAAAGTCGAAAGTGTGGGTAGTCATATTTATGTCATATCTACCAACCCGTTGTCAGATTCTGGTCATGAGATGGAAATAAACTTCAAGATATATTCGTGAAAAGAAATACAGTAGCGAGCAAAAGCTTGGAAACGTTCTCATTTTTGACCTGCAGTAGCCAGTAGGCGATGAAATCACCCCCAATTCACGTATTATATACAGAATCAAGTAAAGACTACGATGAGCACTAGAATTCTTGAAATCGAAAACTGCAATTTTGAAATAGGATTTTTCATAAGAAAGGGCGTGTCAGAAGTTTGGAAACTACTCAATTCCAAAACAAATTTACTAGAATAGCTCTCGAATTCGCATAAGAAATTGGGTGGTCTGTTGAGTTACTGGAAAATTCTATGCTAGCATCGTTTCATTGTCAATGAATTCACTGGAACATGATTTCATTCAATTAATTCAAACCCTTAGAGCTAAAATTCAAATTGTTGTGGAGTGATCCCTAAGCTGAGAATTTGATGTAATGTCGCGCGATGCGACGTTGCCTCGTGGGCGCACCGTGCGCCCCCGGCCCATTCGCGCTCGGAATGCCAATGCGCAACGCGCCCACTGCGTCATTGGCTCCGCCTCTACGGTCGCCGTTGTTCGCCTACTATCACCGCGCTGAGCGGTCGCGTCCACGCTGTCTGCCTAGCTGCCAGGTAAGTCATTGATATTGTGTGCAACCCTTGCAGCTGAGGTCCCTGCTTGAAACGGGTACTACTTTGTCCCAAGGCTGGTAGCCGGTGGCAGGTCGGTCTTCACCGGGCAACGCGAGGAGGCTGACCCCAAGGTGAGGGGGAGCTCCCTCCCTGAGTCCAAGTCGGCGGAGCGCCCGCCGTAGCGCGCGTTCGTGACAGCCAAAGAGCACAGTAATGACATAGTAATATTATTAACGACAATGACACACATCACTCCGCTGATCTCCCTCGGCCACCTCGCTCAAGGGCAGACCAGGCCAGCTGACTGCACGTATTAGACCCCCATCCCGCTCGGGACCACTTCTATGGGCACCTTACGGTCGGCATGTCCTCGGAGGGGCATGATGACAGGCTGCTCCCAGACGGGGAGCAGGGGTGGAGGGTCGTAAAGGAATTCAAAAGCATTCCGAAATCGATTACGAGATTTACCCATCTATCTTTCCATTCATAGCGCCTGACAAGCGGCTATCAGCTGGCAGAACATATGGGCTGCCGTCGGCGTGAATGTGTCAATAAAAAGCTCATTTTTGATATCACACTTCGGGACCAAATGACGCTAGTGATTTCTCATGGCGCTTCGTTCGGTCTAGTTCAGAGCGTGAAGCTGGCAAGGACATCATATTGTACGCGATTAAAAACAAGTCAATTAACAGCACGGACAACCACCAAGTAAGTTTCACGATCATTGGAAAGGGAAAACAGCAGCCTGCCCGGGGGGGTGGTGCGGGGCGCCGTCGTATGCAGGAAGAATGCTACTTATAGGCGGGGATTCGCTACAGTTTGCCTAAGAAGAGACACAGCAATTGGAAAACACTTTAAAGCAGTGCTTGAAGGAATTGGAGATCTAACAATCAGGCCCTTGTGTTGTTTGAATTTTTGGTATTTTTTATAACCATTACGGCTTCACATATTTCATCCCCATGAGGCTTGGGAATGACACGAAATTCAAATTAATTAACTTATGAATGCATTCAGCTTTCAGAGACCCCCTGCGGAATTCACAGTTATCTATAAAAGGATGGCATGGCAACAAGCATATGTCGAATTGGAATGTTTCTCGCTTTCGTAGGCGTTCTTCCTCCTACTGGTGCACATCGAAGCCATAGGTCAGTGCAGCGTACAGTATTGTTACTCCAAAACACTTATTCCTCCTTAGTTAGCTTACGATAACTTCTCTGATTGAGGGTATTGCATTGGATGGTGTTATCACACTCGATAGCTTCTCTGCCCTTCTCGTGTTACATTATTTGGTTTCAGTAATTGGAGTAGAGTAGTATTTTTCAGGTGAAAAATGTATGTCCCCCTATGACTGGCGGGAAGTGATCGTTTCGTTCGTAAAAGAACCCCTTTTGGTGAAGTCTTTCGTGAAACGTCATGTATGTACGCAGCTGAAAGCAATGTGGGAAGCAGAATGGGGTGTCTTCATCACACCGCTGTGGTGCTTCATGTACGATTCTCTAAAACCCTGAAAACTGCCAAAACAGGGAAACGTCCTCTGTTATCGTGGGCATTCGCATGCAAACGCAGTCATTTTTGCTTTGTCATAGTATTATGAGTGTTTGGCCTCCTGGGAGCCCACTCTGGTGATCTCTCGTCTTTCGTTTAGATTTTTTTTAACTACTACATGCACGTTGTATTTTCTATCGTATTATTGCTTATCGCTTTTTGTCCACAGAAATGGGATGAATACATGGCCAAAGAAGCTCAAACAATGATGGCAAAATGGCCATATCATGCTGTGTTTTTTTCGATGCCATTTTCGAAGGACGGACTAAGTATGAAGGGGAAAAGTGCTACAACTTCTGATGAAGTACGGATCGTTGCTTCCAGAAAGAGTAAGTCGCTGGTCACTACTTGTTCTGAATATTTGCCAATACAAACGATCCAGAGCTAACAGGGGATTATTCAGCTGGATTATGCACTTCACAACTATTGGGCAGTGTGCTGAAAAGCAACACTGACGGTCACTCAACGCCAGAAGCCCCTGTTGCCTTTGTTGCTTGGATCAGTATGCCCCACCAAGTTTTCACCAAGCACGGTTGCACCGCGTGGCGCAAAATTTCTGAGGGAAATGAACGGTCGTGAAAACCGCTTCCTAATCTGATACTTTTCTTGGATGAATACTTTTATTGTCTTGGATGAACTTCTTCTTTATCGATTTTCTTCAGCCACACATGAAGACGCATTATGGATGCGGTTGCGAGCACTATCCCAGAAAAAGAAGTGACTTCGTGAAGATTCTGTGCCTCTTCCCACCCCCCTCGAATTACTGATGATTAGTCGAAGTGGCCTGCGTTTTTGGGGCGCCTGATGCTGAGGGCGGAATCAGTCTTTCCCGAATTTGCCACGAATATCTGAACACAGTTATGAAGCAAAGTTGAGCAGCGGTAGTGGTCCGGGCTCACGTGCGAGTCGTTGGGAGCGATTACCTGACGGGTTCCCTTTTTCGCCTTTGCTGCAACATGGCTGTCAAAGGCTTTCAGCTACCTTACTCGATAATGCTTGCCTATAGCTACCTGTGCAAAGAGACTTTGCGAGGAGTTTCTAATCAGTTTGAGCGGTACTTACTAAAGACTGCACATGGAGCCCACAGAACTCTTGGCAGACGTTTTTGCAGCAAACGAAGTGTGATATTCGTGTTCCGGAGATAAAAATACCCTAGGGACAAGTTTGCATTCAGCCAACATTTGAGATTTCGACCAGTTTTCGAAATTAGCTGGTAACTCCATTCATTCAAGTGTAATCCATCAATCAGCGTATCATCGAGCCTATATGTGTGGCCTTGGGATGAAATCAGTATTCTTAGTATCCTTTTTTGTTTCTAAAGAGTGTAGAACAGTGTCTGGTTTTTCTGTTAGCGTGATTTCAACACCCACGTGGTATTATTTCCAGGTTCAAAGGATCGCCGTCGTCCAAGGTAGGTCAACCCTAGAACCATCGGCTATGGATATGATTATAATATTAATATACAATATATATATAGTTATACGATATATATATATGTATGTATAATAGCGTTAATGAATGACTCGCCCACTTTTCCGAAGTTTGTTTGAAATCTCGAATTTTCCTAGAAAATGGCCCTGGAAGTCATTAGACCCCTTAGCAAGATATCACATTCATTCAACCAATAAAGGGCTGAAGCGCACCGCTACGGGTACGTCCTAACCTCATCTAGTAACATGCAAATTGGGAAAACCTTAAAGTTTATGATCTCAAACTCGTCAGAAGCGAGTAGGGTTGACCAAAAATTAAGGAATCATGTTTCCCTACAGCCAAAATGGTCAGTAAAAAAAAAACGCAAACGGAAAAGGCGCAAAGGGTTTCGAACCACTGACTTGAAAAACAAAGTCCACCTCTCTAACCACTGGGCCATCCAGCTGCTGTACCATCAATCACACTTCATTCAAACACCGCTACTGCTGAAGCCGGCTCCTTACTGTGTTAGACTGCGTGAGGAAACAAAAAACCTCCGTAACTCCGTTCAGCGAATCGTTTGGCAGATTTGGGAAGAAGATTCGAGATCAGCGTCCGAAACCACATACCATGATACTTGTCTCATTTCATATGGCCACTTCGACCCTTCACCCTTCCCTAGCTGACTGTTCGTTTGTTAAAGTACCTTTTGACCACTTTTCTGCTGGATGTACGCATTTGAAAAGAAACGTTGCATAAAAATTTGGTCAAAGCAGATTTTCTCGTGCGCTCAAAAAACTTCAATCAGAGATATCACATCTTTGTCCACATCATCCGGGAAACAGCGCCAGCGGAAGCTATGGTAAGCCTCTTGCAGACACGAGAGTCAAGTCCCACAACGAGCTATCACGATCAATTGTCTCCCATACGTACGATAATTGAAAGAAGGATTACAGGTGAACCACGAAGGTCAAAGCTACGGAGACTTACCTAGCATGAGACGGGGGACCTGCTGAGTGTGCGGACCCACACGCAAATTCATTGAAGGATATGCCTTCGGCGAACGCGCATGGCCTTCCGAGCGCAAGTGACGCATTATTAGCGCGCGCCCTTCTTTGCGTGGTTTCGTGTCTGAGTCGCTAATCGTCTAGCAGAGAGAGTGCTAGCGTTAAAGAGGGCTGCATCTATGAGAGACGCACCATTGCGCAAATAGGGCAGAGGAGTCCATTTTACCTTTCTAGGCCATTTTTCTTGTTCTTTTTCCTCTTTCGTGTGTCACTGATCAGTTCTAACTTAGTCTCCAATGGACTGCCCTTTCATTGTGAAATCCGTTTTTGAACAAGTCACGACTGATTATCACTCGGCCGGACTAATGATCCGAAGCAACACTGTAAAGTGACCTCAAACATTGCTTCAAGGCTCGAAACCACGGGTGTGGGGTAATCACAAATGTGCTGGCTTAGGGCTGAAGCACTTCCTGCAGCGCCTGAATTCAGAGCTCATGCTCTCCACGGCGGTGAGTAATCCAGTAATCCACTGCTACAGCACTTTATTCCTGCTATATTACACTGATTGATCTGCCTGCTGTCTGTAATCTACAAGCTATTCACTCGAGTCATCCTTAACAGGATCGGCAGAATACTAGATGAAGGACAGCCATGCGAGCAAGCAGGGTTTCCGAAGAGGGTTCAGCACGATCGACCATATCCACACGGTTACGAAGACTCATTGAAGTTTCACGAGAGTACAAGATGCCGCTTTGTCTCACGTTCATCGACTTGAAGAAGGCCTTCGACTCTGTGGAGACAGAAGCGGTCATCGAAGCCTTGGGCAACCAGGGCGTCCCTACTCAGTACATCAAGATTCTTCGTGAGCTCTACAGCAACTTTACGACCAGGAATCTCACCATTCTCGCGCCCAAAACTCTTCAGCCGCTCTCGAGAACGTCATGCGTCAACTGGAATGGGAAGACATGGGAGTGAAGGTCGACGGCCGGCAACTACACCACCTTCGTTTTGCTGACGACATCGTTCTTATAACGCCGAACATCGAGCAAGCGGAGCGAATGCTGGCTGATTTCGACTGCGCCTGTGGTAAGGTTGGTCTGCAGCTGAACCTAACGAAGACGATGTTTATGAGAAACGGATTGGTTCCTGATGCCCCATTCACGCTCAACGGAACGAACATCACCGAATGCTCCAGCTACGTGTACCTAGGTCGGGAAATCAATATGATGAACGATCTAGCTCCAGAGCTGAGCAGGAGGAAACGAGCGGCTTGGGGAGCGTATAAGAACATCGAGGGAGTAGTGAAGAAGACGAAGAACATCCGGCTCCGTGCCCACCTCTTCGATTCCGCTGTCCTTCCTGCCCTAACCTACGCCTCAGAGACTTGGACTCTGCGCAGGCAGGACGAGCATGCGGTCAGCGTTATCCAACGCGCTGTCGAGAGGACGATGCTAGGAGTAACCCTATACACGCAAGTGCAGAGGGGAATCCGGAGTGCCGAACTACGCCAACGATCGAAGATCAGGGACGCTGCCGTTTTCGCCAGGGAATCGAAGATAAGGTGGGCCGGACACGTCATGCGATTTTGCGATGACCGTTGGACCAGAGCGGTTACCGACTGGATCCCTCGGGACGTCAAACGAACACCTGGACGACCGCCGGCCCGATGGTCAGACTTCTTCACGAAAGCTCTGAACGAAAGGAATGATGGACTTCGTGTCCCTCGAGCAAGGAGGATCCACTGGACCACTCTAGCACGCGACAGGGACGAATGGAGACGTTGCTGGCGCCCGCTCGAGCAAATCGACGATCAACGGGACGACAGGTGATACAGGTGATACTGCACTAAATATCCGACGCTTGAGTGAAATATCCATATCGCGAAGTGTGGCGATATGGATCAATGAAAAAAAACGGCAGTTTTCCGGATTGTCACGGGCTTATCGTTTGTGACAAACGTGCGGAATACTAGAATTCAGTTCTCGATAAAAAACAATAAGCCGAAATGCTTTAATTTGTTTTCATAATTTGATGGAAATTCAACATAACAGCTGCGAATGCTCAGTGGGGGAAATGCACTACACCACTATTCTATCCTTGGGAGGGGTGTAAGGAATTTGATGCAATTCCAATGCTCACCCTCACTGCGCTGTCCTTTTGATGCAATCGCAACGTTTGAAATGAAAACAAATGTTAAGGCTAGACTCACCGCCCATATGTATGTGTCCCACAGTAGCGCCTCATTCCAAGATTGTAGTGGGATTGTGTTTAGATACCGCGGCCTGGTAATTTTTATTAAGGTACCTTACCTTTAGAAGGGAGGGCTGGACTGTGTACTTTTACAGGAATAAGTCAGGTTGCCTTAGGTAATGTGACGAAATTCGCATTAAAGGACGAATTCACGATCAGAGGGAAAATCGAATTAGGAAGAATTCACCTGGTTGAGGGACCCGCGGAGCTCCTAAGTGTGCGAACTGAAGCACAATTTGCACAGGAGGAGTTGACCTCGTTGACCTATTAAGGTTTAATCCCGCCGCGGCTGGTCAGTGCACGCCCACCGATCATCTGATCACTCGCCGCAGGTCTATACGTGGTGAGTGTTTAGATAGGTGAGAGAGCGTAGCGTTGAAGAGGCACAGCGATGATAGTCGCATCAATGCTCAAATCAACGGGCAAGGAAGTGGTCCCATTTCTCAGGTTCTGGGCCGTTTCGCATGGTTTTTCCTTCTTTAGTGTACCACTCACCATCGCTAACTTAATTTGAAATGGGTTGCCTTTCCAGCGTGAATTCGTCCTTTAAAATGGTTAACAAAGGCATTTGGATTCGTCTTTTCTTCAGCATCTATCCCGCTTGTAGTACGCCTTTTTATATGCTCATGCCTCTATTCCCGATTCAATGCTTGATCGGGTGGGCGTTAATTGCTTTCGAGTCTTCGTGCAACGTATCAAGCCACCACTGCTTCAGGATCCCCTAGGCGGCTTTCAAGGTAGAGAGCAATCTTTATGGACACTGAGCCATCATACGTGCGAAGCACATGACCATACCATTGAAGAAAGGATCGCGTCACGTTGGCAGGGACAGAAGAGGCCACGAATGGGTGCACGGAGGTGGAGGATAGGAAAGTTAAATTCGAACATATTTCCCTAAAAGAGTGGCTCATGCTCGCCATTCCAAACTAGACCCGCCCTTCTTAGGTGATTTTTGAAAGCAACAATTACAAGGGAGAGACAACCACAAATTTGTGTAGAAAATCAAACCGGATTATACAGGGTGGCCAGATATAACAAGGTGAAGCGGTCATGGAAAATCTGCACATCATCACATCTGTAAGAGCAGTAGTCCTGAAGACCTGTCTGCAAAAGTTGCAATATAGACTGGCAATGAGTAAAAAGAAGAAAGATATGACATATAAGAGTGAAGAGTACATGTTAATGATAAAAAGAAAGGAATGATTCGTTTCGCCTCTTAATCATACGAATCATTGTAACCTTCATTCCCTGAGGCTTCTTCAGTGATTGGGAATGAATGCATTGTGATGTCTATCATATGTCACCAGATGTTACAAGGGAGTAGTGAAAGTATTGGATCAAGACGTTAGTAGACATGTATCAAAGAGTAACACAAGGATTGCAAATTGCATATTGGGAACTAGGATGCGTCTCAGGTAGGTGTACGGTAATAAAATACTCAGTATTGGATACCGTAACAGATACGGTATTAGTTACTAAGTGTAAAATTGGCATTCGAGCAGATTAGTCGTTAAGAGGGGACAAGGTTAAGGAGAAGAACAATGAGTAAATAAGAGATAAGGGAGGAGAGTATGTGCTTGAGATGGAGATAAAGGTTGCTGTTGATCTAATGCTTAGAGATAAAGTTATTCGAGTTGGCAATCCTTAAGTGCGTTGGCAAGCCTTAGTACGTTGGCAATCTTAGTGCTTCGGTATAAATAACTGAAGCTTTATTCTGAAAAGAGATATTGGTTTGGGAATGTGGAAATCTCAGAACTTTGAAATTAAAATCGTCCGTTTTATTATACAAGTTGGTAAAGATTTGATTATTTTTTATAGTAATACTAAGGTCTAAGTAGGCACTGGCTAATTCATTAGTATTGGTTTTTGTAAATTCTAATGCATTATTATATACGGTATTCAGAAATTTTTCTATATCAGATTCTTTTTGATTGTGTATAACAAGTAAATCATCCATATATCTGAATGGGATGAATAGTTTGGTTTCATCGAATTTGTGATTAATTGCATGGTGGTATTCCATTATTGAAAGTGTCAGGTCTGCTAGCAGGGGACTGAAATTACTACCTTGTGGAACACCTTTCTTTTGTTTGTATACCTTATTGTTGAATATACAATAACTATTATTTATAAAATAATCCGTGAGATAAATTAGGTCGTTAATTTTATAGTATCTATATTTGCTATTGTTATTATCATTATCCGAGTAGAAGACATGATATCCATTTGTTGCTATAAAGGGCTTATCAGCATTCTTGAAGCATATTTTCAGAAGTGTTTGAATGTTTTTGATTATAAGGCTATGTTCTAAGTTTGTGAACATATCTTTAAAATCTGCTGTGTAAATTTTTAAGTTAGGAAATTTTAGTTCATTCAATTCTTGACTAATGTTTATGTTATTGATTGCCCAAAATGCTTTCATAGTTTTATTTCTGTTTTGTACTACTGTGATGTATCTGGTGAAATGTTTTTTTGAGAAAACTATAGATCACTTGCAATTCTAGCGCAAGAGGTTTAATGCTACTGTTGTGTGCTCCTGTAATGAATCTAAATTTTATGGGATCTTTATGTAATTTTGGTAGAGCGTATATTGTAGGAAGGTCCATTTCAGTGAACACTTTCAACTTATGTCTGATACAGAAGAGTTTGTGGTTAAGAATTTGTGAATGTTTTTCAATATTATCGTTCCGTTCATATGTATTGTGTGTGTTAGAGTGTATTATTTCTGTTGTATTGAAGTCATATCTTGTACCCATTTCTTTCATAATTGTTTCTATGTAATATTTTTTACAGATAATACCGTAGTTATTGTTGGCTTTATCTAGCGGGCAAAATATAAAGTCCTTTCTGATATTTTTGATAATATTGCTTGGAAGCCTTTCCCCAGAAGATTTCAATGCGCAAGGGCGACACGAAAAGGGTCTTTGTCAACGGAAGTTTGGAAAAAATAAAAAACACAGAGGTGTCTTCATTGGGCTGACTAAAAATCCCGCACCGAGCTTACTCAAGGAATTGGGGCTGACAAGGAAAGTGTGAAAGAACTTTGAGGCGCGCTTCCCTCCCTCCCTCCTCAGCAGTGGATTAGACTGTCGGTTAAGCGTACCCCTGCCGACCATGCTGGAAATTGAGCCATCCCAGATCGCCGTGGTCAAATTTCCGCTGCCATTTGCAAGTCGGTGAGCACTCTAAGAAGGTGCGGCCGTCTTCTAACTATAAATTTTCCCCTTCTTTGACCTTCGTTTTGGTCATGAATTCCTCTTTTAGCAACTTGGCTACCGCTGCCTTCAACGATGAAGTGAGCCATCAAAGAAATCGTAATCAGTAACGTCGTATAATCAGCCTGCCGAAAGGATCCATGCTTTCTAAAAACATTGTGCGAAATTAAAATAGCAAAGCGACATTATGACTGCATAAAAACATTCAACTTTTTACACACAACAGCTGCCAAAAATACACGGCAAGTTTTTTTGAGGTTTTTCCACTGAAAATCACTGATCGGCTCCGAATTCGCGTTTTTCTAATGTGGCTTGATGGCTGACTGCAGATGCAAGACTTTGATGCGACCTTTGTTTCTCTCTCGTGCCCCTTCACCACTTCTGAATTTATTTTTTTGTTCACATCTGCATAAATACTAATTTCTTCATAAGTTAGGCCGTTGATATATGGAATTGGAGAAGTTCTACAGGGAAGATCATACCTTCTTCAAGGTCATCGTCGGCGACTTCAACGCTAAGATTGGCCCAGAAGAACGGCTGAAGAACTTCACATCGGTACTCACGGAATGGAATGGAATGAGCAGGGTGAGAGACTGTCGGAGTTTATCATGTCGACCAACACCATCCATGGTAACTCACAGTTCCAAAAGCCCTCTCACCTTCGTTGGACTTGGGAGTCACCTGATGGACAGTTCCATAACGAGATAGACCACATCATCTTCAATCGAAGGTTTTGCCTGACCGACGTCGCTGTTGTTCCGAAGTTCTACACGGGATCAGACCATCGTCTCCTCCGCGCAAAGTTCCACTTTTCGATGCGTGTTGAGAGAGCCTCGAAGTTCAGGAAGCGAAGCCCCAGGACAGTCATCAACTGGGATCACTTCGCTTCCCTCGTCAGCTTATGGGAGGATTCCGTCATCGAAAACATCGACGAGGAGTACTATCGGCTCGTTGAACATCTTCACGATTGTGGCAAGAAGGCAGAGAGTTTGAAAGTCACCAAGGGACGTCTGTCTCCGGAAACTCTCGAACTGATACGCCAGCGTGGAGCCGCACGAGCTGCAGGCAATCACCGACTCACGTCCGAGCTTGCGAAGCTATGCAGAGAGGCGATAAAGGAAGATCTCAAGGAGCGAAGAGCAGCAGTATTAGCTGAAGCAGCAGAGGCTGGGAGGAGCATCCGCAATGCCCGCCGAAGCTTTGCCAGCTACAAGACCAAGATGACCTGCCTCCGACGTCCGGATGGAACAGTTACTGCATCCCGAAGGGCAATGGAGAAAGTCATCCACGACTTCTACTCGGATCTCTTCGATAGCCATGTCCATCTGCCCACTTATCAACTGCAACAGGATGGATACGTCGTCCCCTCAGTTCTCTCTTCCGAAGTCCGACACGCCATCAAGTCGGTGAAGAATCGTACAGCACCCGGTCTCGACAGGGTCAAACCGGAACATCTGAAGAATGCGCCGCCAGTCATCATCAAAACTCTGGCTCGACTCTTCACGCGCTACCTGTCGGAATGCAAGGTACCCACTCCGTGGAAAACCAGCAGGACCGTGTTGCTGTACAAGAAGGGAGACCTGGACGACATTGGCAACTATCGCCCAATCTGCCTGCTGTCTGTAATCTACAAGCTATTCACTCGAGTCATCCTTAACAGGATCGGCAGAATACTAGATGAAGGACAGCCATGCGAGCAAGCAGGGTTCCGAAGAGGGTTCAGCACGATCGACCATATCCACACGGTTACAAGACTCATTGAAGTTTCACGAGAGTACAAGATGCCGCTTTGTCTCACGTTCATCGACTTGAAGAAGGCCTTCGACTCTGTGGAGACAGAAGCGGTCATCGAAGCCTTGGGCAACCAGGGCGTCCCTACTCAGTACATCAAGATTCTTCGTGAGCTCTACAGCAACTTTACGACCAGGATCTCACCATCTCGCCCAAACTCTTCAGCGCCGCTCTCGAGAACGTCATGCGTCAACTGGAATGGGAAGACATGGGAGTGAAGGTCGACGGCCGGCAACTACACCACCTTCGTTTTGCTGACGACATCGTTCTTATAACGCCGAACATCGAGCAAGCGGAGCGAATGCTGGCTGATTTCGACTGCGCCTGTGGTAAGGTTGGTCTACAGCTGAACCTAACGAAGACGATGTTTATGAGAAACGGATTGGTTCCTGATGCCCCATTCACGCTCAACGGAACGAACATCACCGAATGCTCCAGCTACGTGTACCTAGGTCGGGAAATCAATATGATGAACGATCTAGCTCCAGAGCTGAGCAGGAGGAAACGAGCGGCTTGGGGAGCGTATAAGAACATCGAGGGAGTAGTGAAGAAGACGAAGAACATCCGGCTCCGTGCCCACCTCTTCGATTCCGCTGTCCTTCCTGCCCTAACCTACGCCTCAGAGACTTGGACTCTGCGCAGGCAGGACGAGCATGCGGTCAGCGTTATCCAACGCGCTGTCGAGAGGACGATGCTAGGAGTAACCCTATACACGCAAGTGCAGAGGGGAATCCGGAGTGCCGAACTACGCCAACGATCGAAGATCAGGGACGCTGCCGTTTTCGCCAAGGAATCGAAGATAAGGTGGGCCGGACACGTCATGCGATTTTGCGATGACCGTTGGACCAGAGCGGTTACCGACTGGATCCCTCGGGACGTCAAACGAACACCTGGACGACCGCCGGCCCGATGGTCAGACTTCTTCACGAAAGCTCTGAACGAAAGGAATGAAGGACACGTGTCCCTCGAGCGAGGAGGGTCCACTGGACAACTCTTGCACGCGACAGGGACGAATGGAGACGTTGCTGGCGCCCGCTCGAGCAATTCGATGATCAACGGGACGACAGGGGATACAGGTGAGGTGATTA